GCTCTTGGGGGAGTGGAGCAGTATTTCTCTGGGTACACAAGGACCACAGAACTCTTATGGGAGTGGAGTAGTATTTCTGTAGATACACAAGGACCACAGAATGCCTTGTTCACGCCCTGTTAAATGTCTTGTACAGCCTACATTTAGGGCAGAAAAGGCCCATTTTCTGTGGGGTTTGTGGGAGTGGGACGGACATCAGACCTCACAATCCTGGGGAAGAGAGCAGCATGACTGAAAAAGTAAACTTCAGGGAATAGCCCTATATTGAGGTATTGGTCTAGAAAACAGAATTTTTCAGGCCAATCTCATAGGGTTTGTGCACCTGTCAAGCGGCATCTATTTAATTGACCTCTTTCTAATCAGGCACATCAAATCAATGCTGATCAGTGTACATTTACTGTACCCAAAAATTCTACTTTCTAAATCAAATTTTCCCCATAAATCTATCCACACTAATCCATATCTCAAACGTCTGTCCGATGGTTGTAAGACCATGTGCCTGATTATTCCTTATCTGATTATTCCTGATTGACCTTTTTACTCACCACCCTCTTCTACTCCACACAACAACAGTCCCAACATGCCTGAGTACTTACCATGTCTTACACCGCACATGCATTGGGTTACGGGCCAATCTTTGTATATTTGCTTGACCATTTTCGGAGGCGGGTGATTAAATTTTGTTTTTGTTGTGCAACCGTCCATGTGCAAAAATGTATTCTTGGCATGATTCCAAGAGTGTGGTTGAACCTGCAGGAATATCCATGTTGAATACTACAGAAGAAAAAGGAAAACAGGAAAAAATGACATTTCACTTTCAGTTTCAATACATGTAATGTAAAAACTGTAGAATAATTTCCTTTCCTCTTTAGATCAACTACGTCAATATTGTTTCTTTTTTGGCTGTCATACCGGCACATGTACTTACTGTATCATGTGGTGCAGTATTCACAAAAAAAGTAATTTCAAAGATGAAAATTGGAACTTAAAGTAATTTATAGCACAGTCTCTTATTAGATGTTTTTTGATGAGTCTTGTCTTTGTCTCTACAGCCTGTTTTGTATTCCTACTTTCGAAGCTCTTGTTCATGGCGAGTTAGAATTGGTGAGTATAATGCTCTATATTTTTTTAAAATAAAATGAGTAGCTATTACGTGTACATGTACATGTATGTTGACCTACCGATGATCAGCCAGTCACCATTTCCATCTGATGAACGGATAGGGAAATGACGTTGGATTTCTTTAAGGATCTTTTGTTCAATCAGTTGCAATTCCGATCCACCAATCAAATAAATTTTGTTCCTCAATCTGTTGTACTGTATTTGGCTGCAGGGCTGACAACTGTAAGTCTTGTGTCTCTCAAAGTTTACGTCCATGTACATGTATGTATGAATTGCTGGTAGTTAATATCTTATACTTTATCAAAGTTTTTGATTTCTTCAAATGTTGAAAAGAGTTTCACTGCCTATTTTGGCCCTGTTAAAATGTCATTGCCCACATGTGTGCTAATGGGAATGTGGTAAGGATTATGGATTCACAGCACCATACCCTTGTAGGAAAACATAGATGAAAACCATGTGTGACATTATTACACGTAGTTATCACGTTTGCACTCTTGGAACACAGAATAATGTAATGCATCTGTGTCCCGTATACCACTCAGCCAAATTTAAAGTAATTTTTACTGTTGTGTATTTTGCTGTTAGCATAAAAGTAGGGCAATGCGTTGAGTTAGAACTACGCATTATGCAGGGTTTGATATGAACCGTGGAATACGGTTGACGGGGGCAGGTTTTACAGTTTGTCACACTGTTTGTTGTCATGGATCAACCAATCAGAATTGAGAATTCAAGTTTGCTCAAAGATAACAGTACATCTAATGGCTCATTTTATCTAATTTCCCCTTGTCAAACTTTTCAGAAATTTTTATAGAAGTGCCTACAAATTTCACCTGAAAAGAAAAATCTGCAGAACTTTGAGTCCTTTTGTGAATTCTGTCCTAAATTGTGGAAACTTTCTACATGTAGGCCCGACAGTCCTTATGTGAATTCTGTCCTAAATTGTGGAAACTTTCTACATGTAGGCCCGACAGTCCACGATAAACAACCTTAATTAACTTGCATGTAAGTTCAATATGTTTCACTCTGTCTAAACAATGGCAAGACATCGTACCGGTACATGTATGTACATGTAGGTCTCACCAGAGACATATTCAACCGCCAAGTTCCCCCACCAGGCATTGCAAAATGGTATCAGGTGTAACCTACCGTACATACCACGTACACATACTTTGAAGGCATTGTATCCCCCCAAAAAAGAGATTACAGAGTTAACTATAATCAGGTTGGATGATAAACCAATACCGTTACATCTGCCTCTAAAACAAGGGGATACATGTATGCTTGGCCGGTCCAACATTGAAGAATGGCCAGTCACTTATGTATTCCTATTCATATTTCCATTTTTACATGTACATGTATTTATTCAAGAATTTTACTTTCATTTCCCCCCAACACCCCTGTCTATTTCAAGATATATTCCTTGTTCAAGCAGTCCTTTTTGTGTCCTTTTCCTTGCAACAGCTTTGGCAGTCAAGGGCATAGAGTATGAATATGCAGCAGTGAATTTACTGAAGTCAGAACACAAGGGAGAGAAATACCTGTCACTGAATCCAAACGGTCAGGTTCCAGCCATGCATATTGATGGAATGGTGCTAACGCAGTCCGTAAGTAAGACTTGAGATGAATGCTCCTAATACCCGGTAGGGCTAAAGTTTTCTTTGGAAGGTTGTAGTACATTTGGCGAGTTCACATGTACTGTACATGTACATGTATACATGCTGAGCTGAAAACTGCTGGCAATCAGTCAGCAATAGTTGCTTCAGGTTTCTGATAACGTCTTTTGGCAATTAACTTCATATCCAGAATTATCTTGCTCATTTATCATGAACAAGCACCTTATATTCACTTAGAAGGTGGAGAAAGCAAAATATTTTAGTAGGTAATGATCACTTATTGCATCGTGGAACATTTATGCTAATTTCCTCATTAACATAAACCCATAGGTATTCCTAAGAAATTCCTTACCCCTACCAGTCCTCACATTTGATCTATTTAATAAAAAATCTGAATACTGTAAGGATGAGAAATCAGTCTTGGTCATTCTCAGAGCACTTTAAACTTTGCACTTTCTGTCATATCTTGAAGGATGACCATGGTCTTCAAGGAGTTGATACTGTGGCGGTCATCCTCAGGCCTACCCTAAGTTGATGGGATCAAGTCTAGCACTGTTAGTGGCAGAGTCAATCTTTCCAACCTAAGGTTCTTCCCTAGACGAGAGAACACACAGAACGACCTCAAGGCTAAGGGTGCGGGACCGTTTATGAGGAAATATACTGCCGATTGTGACTGAGTGTTAATTAATCCTTGGCAAGAGAATTGTCGTTACAGGAGATACAATTTATTCAACAATAAACAACAAATGCAATGTACCGTAAAGGGTTGTTTAGTTACCAAGGTCCTCAACTTCAATTGGAGTAAGTGTTAAACTAACCCAGGGCTGCAGCAGCAACACTCAAATGTATCAGCAATACACTGCACATCAGCAAAATCCCACTGCATCTGCATAAGCAACGCAGCACTGTTTAAACGATGCACACCACATCAGCAATGTACAACTTGTACAACTTTGTACAAGCCATACCTCACATGCGAGCCAGCAATCAGCCATGTACAGCCCATACAGCTTTGCACACGTACTTGCAACACATCAGGTACACATGCCAGTCAGCCAAGCACAGTCTAAACACTTCTGCACTCGCTACGCATAAGCACCACACAACACTTCGCCCAGCACTGACAAATTCCTCGCTCCTCACCCAACTTACCAACTTCACTCCTTGAAGTCCAGCACCCAACTTACCAACTTCACTCCTTGAAGTCCAGCACCGAACTTACCAACTTCACTCCTTGAAGTCCAGCACCCAACTTACCAACTTCACTCCTTGAAGTCCAGCACCCAACTTACCAACCAGCACCCAACTCCTCCATGTGCTTGCTCTGGCCCTACAACCGCCCAGCCAGTACACGGCCCTACAACCACGTGTACACAACGCGCTATACTCCGCCCAGCCAGTACACGGCCCTACAACCACGTGTACACAGCGCGCTATACTCCGCCCAGCCAGTACACGGCCCTACAACCACGTGTACACAGCGCGCTATACTCCGCCCAGCCAGTACACGGCCCTACAACCACGTGTAAACAGCGCGCTATACTCCGCCTAGCCAGTACACGGCCCTAAAACCACGTGTACACAGCGTGCTATACTCCGCCCAGCTAGTACACGGCCCTACAACCACGTGTACACAGCGCGCTATACTCCGCCCAGCTAGTACACATTACAAGGTCACTAGCCAACCAACCGGGTATGTTCACTCCACGGTTACTACAATTCATTAATAAAATTTGACTGGTTCTACGGAATACATGTATCTATACACTTTCCGTCACAATACGTACGATGATTTCAAAATGTCTGTTAACCTCAATTACATGTACATGTATGCCTTATTGCTTTGAGAATAATGGACCAGTAATGAAAGAAAAAGCCAAAAAAGTTGAAGAAAATATGACAGTTTCTTTTTAATGAAATATGAATCCTCTCTTGGGACAGATTCAACAAATGTGGTTAGAACACAACCACTGCTAAGTACAGGTAGACAACTTGAACACTGAAAGCAAGCTTTCTACCGGTAGGTAAACAATTTCATGGCATTTAACAAACAGCAGTTTTGGCACATTTCTTAAGTATGCATACATGTCGATTTTCACATGGAAAAACTGTCAAAATTCTAGAAAACTGCATTGAGGAAGAGCTGTGATATGATATGACATGATATTTCACATGTTACCGAGTGGTTAAATTTTACCAGAGAGAGGGATGGCGGATAACGCAAAATATTACGGAAACAGGGATGCAGAGTAAAAAAATTTCAAAAAAAACACCAATTTACGAAAATAGACTGCTGATTTAATTAAAATTGAAAATTGGAACAATTATATGTACTTACAATTACGTCAGTTATTAATCCAAATTAATCCAAGTTACCTTAACCCCCTTTAATGGTGGTGCAGTCAGAGGACGGTCAAATCCAATTTAGCCCAACCTGGCATATGTTTTTGTTGGCTGGCCACCATGCACAAACTACTCAACCCTAACCACCTGCTGTAACTGGCCAAGATTTATCAAACAGAAAGCAGGCCAGTGGGAAGGTACCATAAAAATCATACAAATGGGTAGTTAAACACTGAAGGTTTAGACCAGACACTTGACAGGCAAAAATGACTGCTCAAAATATTGTACCAGATGACATTTGCACAGGAGGTTTAAGCAAAAAAAACCCCTTAAGAAACCCCCAAAACACCCACACAAATAAAGTCAATATGATGATGGACCAATCTGTAAATTAAGATGAAAATACATTTGTGTAAGTGACCCAGCATCATATATGGTAGAAGTCCATGTACAGTTATATGCATATACTGGATTCATTTACATTTAAGGCATAAAATATGCGGCCCTGCCACAGCCTACGTTTTGAATTTATGGTTTACATTCCTTATTTTTTTATCAACATGCACTAATCAGTTTAATAAGAAATGAAATGTTTCACAACCACCAGTAATATTGTTGAGAATACGAACTACCAAAATTAACTTACTCAAGATGTTATGGAAGGGCTACGTGTACATCAAATACTAGGTGGTGTAGGATGACCTACACATGTACATGTACGATACTGCTAGGTCCATAGGAGGACTAGGTCGGTCACTGTAAATCAGAATTAAACATTTAATATAACACTGAAACAAATCATTATAAGTTAAGGATGTTGACAAAATATGATCAAACACTCATTTTTATTGAGGTGTACAATGTTCAAAAATATTGATATCTCTGAACAATATGCAAAGATGCTTACAAGAAACTACCTCAAGCAAACTAGAGTTCAACAGGACATAGTTCCATAATGTGCCTACAAAAGTGCAAAATGCAGATCTAAATGTGTACAATCTATAATCGAACAATTATTAGAGGAAAATTAGAAAGTGCTCACTCACCATGTGTCCACTGCCACCATGCCATACTGCCGAGTTCCAAACTCAAATTTTACAATATCGGGACTACACCTAAACACAGGCTACCGGTAGCTCACAACATAAGTTAGGAGCACCATCAGTGTGTGAACTTCACATGGAGATGTGTATCCCACACTAATGCAATGCAGTGTGCAGCAAAGACACTAGCGTGACGTAGAGAAGTGCACCTCGCAAGACGAAAGGCAGAAAAGCAAAGCTACACGGCAAGACGCACTAATGATGAGCCAAATAACTTGCCCCACCCAGACAGTGGAACTCTAAATATGCAATAGTTGCATAACTCCTACAAACGCAACACCGCAACTTACAATTTGTACAAAGCAGCACTGCATTCCTACAGTGCCAGACATTGTGATACATGTACATGGCGAGAGAGGGCGCACTTCAACTAATTATAAAGGCACACTTAAAAAAAAAGTGACATTAAACCTGGGACGGTTGACAATACTTTGTCGACTGGTCACACACAGAATTAGAACCACTGTGTACTTCAACTTTGATGGTAGTTCTCATACTTTTCATTGGGTGTAAGTCACAAATGTAGAATTTTCTCTCCTGTAGAATGCCATCATTGAGTACCTTGATGAGACTCGAGAGGGACCATCCTTGCTACCTAAAGATCCTAAGAAACGATTCGCTGTAAGTTGGATATTCAACTGTATTCGTGATTTAAGGCATACTAATTGCTGTTGGCAATCAGGATGCATTAAGAGGAAAATTTGTAACATCCTGTGCAAAGTGTTTGTTTAAATTCCTTGTCTGTTGTTATCAGCGGTGAGATTTATCAGGTTTTTTCCTGATTTCAGAATGTTTTCATCAGGATTTTCCTGATTTCAGAATTTTTGTATCAGGATTTTCCTGATTTCAGAATTTTCAAATCTATTTTTGAAACCTGGAATATCTCAAGGATACAGTGGTCTTTTTACATAAAAATGGATGAAGAACACAAGAAATGGATATGTTAAGGCTTGCCTTCAGGTAAGCACATACACTGTATATATGCCATACATGTTGTAGACTGTACTCTACTGCGTTGACCTCAAAATCTTTGCCGATTATTTTGTAGCTTTTACATTTTCCCCTCAATCTCATCTTGATTTTATTGAATTATATTTTGACTTCCTGTGTATTTTGTTGTCCATTTTTTTGCCTAACTGTAACATGCAGTTACTGATGTGATTGGTGAGATTATTTCTTCAGTAACATGACACAGTGCTAGCTTACCTGTGGTTTTGTTGATTTCTTTTTAAAAACTTTTCAGGCTCGACAACTGTCTCAGATCATTTCTTGTGGTATTCAGCCCCTTCAGGTGAGTAAAAAAAATCACATTTCTCTGCAATAGTAGGTGCTAAGTAGATACTTTGAGCAATTGGAATCATTTACATGTACATTTTGTGCTCTGTTAACTGATAAAGCAGCACAGTTTTCCATCCATGTTTGAATCTTCAGCGTGAAGTTTCCCAAGCCTTGAGCTAGCCTTGTATAGTACATGTACATGTATATCCACAAATTTGGCAATTGGACAACGTCTCACTGGAATATGCATGTACCTGACCACCAGTGCTGTGTTCGAGTCCATCACAAGTCCCTTCACAAGGCTAGTCACAAGTAACAGGGTGAACAATAACAAAGCAATGCTTTTGTCACAGCTCATTTGAATAGCTTATGAATTGGCTTAAGACTGAATAACTTGTTATGGACTTGTGAGTACTGTGATTACAAAGGCTGGTGCAACAGGTCATAATGTGAGTGAAAATTCAGTCAAATTTTTTGTTACACTAAAACTGTTTTGTAAAAGGTGCAAATCTGATCTGTTGTGCTTAATGTACCCTGGTGTTCTGAAATTCAGAGTAATGATGATGACCTGCATTACTCTCTTCAGTTGTGCACATGCGGTTTGTGTCATGTCGGCGTAACTGTAAAAGTTGGTGTGAAAGCAAACTGCACTTGATCAGTACAGGTACATGTATATGTACATCACATTCATTTACATTTATTTCACATTCGGAATAGATACAAAATTGAATTTTAGACATTAGGAGCAAAATATCAAAAAATCTTACTTAAAATAACGAAGGGAAGTAATGTTAGAGTTGCAAGGTGTGGGGTACATTAAAAAAGCTGAAGCTTGTGTTGAAAATGCCCTTAATGAAAAATATAATAATGAAAAATCAATTGATTGGGGATGAAATACTAAATTAAGGAATACAAAAATGACAAACATAAAAAAGAATCAAACTTGCTTTGCATGAGCGTTTGTTTTCAAAATAAGCAAACGAAACAGCAAAATGAGTATTAATCCGGAAAAAGTGATTGAAGCAAAAGATTCAACCCTCCTCCATAAAAAAAAATGCTTACTAACGAGCAAAAGCACTGGTTGTGTACATGCAGTCAAGAGGAGCAAATTAATGAGAAATAAGGATGTTCTCATACACAGACTTAAATTTATCCACAGACAACTGAGTTTCCACTTCTTTATCAATGCTGTTCCAAAAACAGAGGCCATAAAAATGAAGGGTGTTGAAAGAATATGAGGTTCAAGTGACTGGGATAAATAGACTATTGCTTGATTTGGTAGAGTGTGAGTGTCTCCTACGATGCTGAAATAAGAACAAAATGTTCGAGGAAGGAGGTTGTGGGTAGATTTGTTCATAAAAATTGCTGTATGAAGTTTGTTAATGTCTGACAGTGTTGAAGTGTTTAATCAAGCTAAACGTGGTGCTGTGTGCTCACGAGGATGGGAAAAGTACAAATCCCAATAGTCTTGTTTTGGATGGTTGTAAGTGAATGAAGTTTTGAGTTTCTTGTATGCGCCCAGACAATGTTATAGTAGGTGAGATAAGGCAAAATAAGAGTTTTATAAAGTGAAAACAAAGTGGATTGTGGAATAAAGGCCTGCAGTTTAACTGGAACGCCTATGTTGCGTGAGACAGTTTTATTAATGTTGGTGATATGGTTAGTCCAGGAGAGTTTGTCATCTATCGTAGCACCTAAAACTTGGTGAAATGGAACCTTGAATTGGCGATGTTATCGATTGAAATGACATCAAGATCCTTGGAAGACTTCGTGGACCTGGTAAAGAGCTTAAAGTTCATCTTGGCATGAATCAAAGAAAGTCGGTTGGCTTTGAACCATGACAACACTCTGGAAAGTTCAGTATTCTCTGTGTTAATTAGGGTGTAGGAGTTTGGGTGTGAAGAGGTGATGGTTGTATCATCAGCAAAAAGAATAAAATGTAAAAAAGTAGAAGAGAAAAGTAAGCGATGAACTTAGAGTAGGAAATGGTGCGGAGCAAGAATGGAACCCTGTGGAACACCACAGAAGATATGTTTTTTACTAGAATCAACGTTTCTTAAATGGTCGTAAATTGCTAGCAGTCAGAAAGATAAAGAGGCAAATCATCAATTGTAGGTGCTTGTCTTTTGCATTTTTCTTGCAGAATTTAAGTGTTTTACGTTACATTGGTGAGGAGAGGAAAGTAGAATGGGCTCAGAAGGTGATTTCAGATGGTTTTGAGACATTTGAGAAGATTGTTGAGCAAACAGCAGGGAAGTACTGTGTTGGGGATGACATCACCATGGCAGATCTTTGCCTTGTACCTCAAGTCTTTAATGCTAACAGGTGAGACGATTGTTTAGGTTATTCTTAAAATTAATGGAAACCTAATAACATATGCTACTATGGCACTACATGTTGGGGGAAATTGGGATTTTTCTTTTTGTGAAAAGGGTGTTCAAATTTTTTTATCCACAACCCAAGTACCATTTCTAAAGTGTTGCTGCATTAAATGAGAAGAAATTGGCAAATTGTCTTAGGGAGGCTCCCAATGTATGCAGGTATGTCACTGGAGTATGGATTCATTTTATGCCTTGTTTTGAATGTAGACAACCTTTTACATGGTCAACATTAAGAAGAATCATGTGAGACTAGGCTTGAAACTTTTTCAAGATAATCTGCATGACTTGACATATTTTTTAACCTAGAATAGGACTGTGTTTGCTTCCTGTGTCATTAACCACAATGTGTTAAAATGGAAGGTTGAATAGACTCGTGTTGGGTTTCTGTTAGTATTCAATGTTAGTGCACTTTGCTCTTTGCATGCTGGTGCCATAGGCATGGGCAGCATTGATCTGGCAGTTTCACACAATTACATATGGCAGGTTTAGTTGTTCCCAGTTCACTGAACTGGCTATTTATTTTGGCGTAAAGCTGCCAGTTTGAGGCCCTCCATGCCTATGGCGGCAGCGTGCAAAGAGCGAATAGGTAGCAACGGTCTTGTCACAGTAACAGTGTCTTTCGTCTTAAAAATTTCATCTTAAAAATGTACATAACATTTCCAAGTCCCTTAGCGAACGGAATACCAGTATCTCAGGATATACCGGTACAAATGTTGACATTTTCCAATAAAAGAGGAAATTAGCCTTTTTATAGGTTCTATGCATGGAACCTATGAAGCGTTACAAATATCAAGTTTTTTATTCAATGTGACATGGGATTTTGATCTTATGGTTATTTCAAGTTCATGAACTCCAGTGCATCGACCTGCATGCATTGAGCATGCAGTTGAAAAAGTATGGATATTATGATCTGTCTCGGAAAAATGCACGCTGCATGAGAATGGCGTGTCTGATTTTCATGAAATTAGTTTGAAAATGATTGCAGAATGATTGCCTGTGACAACTTTATGTATTCATTTAGCAGTTAGTCAAGTATAAAATCTCTTAACATTGGCAGTCTGTGTGAATCACTTCTTCTTAAATGATGGTTCTCGTTTTGCATTGTCAGGTTCAAAGTGAATATGTCCAACTACCCTATTATTTCAAGAATTAATGCTGCTTTACTGGAACTAGATGCTTTCAGTGTGGCCCACCCCTCCAAGCAACCTGACTGCCCAGATGACTTGAGATAAACAGGAAATCTGTGGCTGTTGATGGCAAGGATAAACATGGATGTGAGTGGGTAAATTCAAGAGGCATGGGGTGTTAATATGGTATTTGGTTTTGGACTCTTAGATCAGTGTTACTTGGTTTCTATACAATGAGTCAATTTTGTATTTCAAAAAGGCAAGGTCATTTGAGGACAAAATGTCTGACTTCATGCCAGCGTAAACATTGCATATAGGGCCAATGCATATTCATAGCTGTACTTGAATGATCTTTAATACTTTGTGCATGTTCTGTCTGTATACCTATCTCGCACATTTCCTTTGGAGAATTTAGGGATTTCCAGCGTAAACATGTTGAATTTGAATTCTGTTTCTTTGTCACTCTGATGTGTTATTTGCTTTTATACTACTTCCAAGTAAAACCCCGCCATCTGATTGGTGAACCACAGATCATGTGACATGAAATATTCTGACCAATACATGGTGTGCATGCACCACAAAACAATATGTAATGCAACAACTGGCAAAAACTGTGCGTTTGCAAAAACCCAACTTAGCATTATTTACACACATTTCTGTGGATGGCGTTGACCTTTGTCTGAAATTCTCAGTTAAATTTTGAATTTTTGTTATTATAGCTCTTTTATAAAATGCATGTATGGTAGAATTGGTAGAAATTCGTTCTGAATTCTCCACCAGGGAGATTAACATTGAATATTGACATGATTTTGCCTGGAGCTACAATTGTAGAATTTAATGGCCTGTACCTCTACCAGTAGTTGCTGGACAAGGCTTTATGCATGTTTTATACGATTTGGTGCAAAGTGCTGTCAGTGATAGGATTTGGCAGAGAACACAGTGCTGTGAGTGATAGGATTTGGCACACAACACAGTGCTGTCCGTGATATGATTTGACACAGAACACAGTGGTGTCAGTGATAGGATTTGACACAGAACACAGTGCTGTCAGTGATAGAATTTGACACAGAACACAGTGCTGTCAGTGATAGAATTTGACACAGAACACAGTGCTGTCAGTGATAGAATTTGACACAGAACACAGTGCTGTCAGTGATAGGATTTGGCACAGAACACAGTGCTGTCAGTTCCGTTCACAAACTTTCATATGAAACCAGAAAAAGTGTTTTTAACTGGTTAATAGCTTTACCAGCCATTTCAATCCACCCACATGATCGGCTCTTGACCAATAGGAATCGATAAACTGAGCTGTTTATGAATTGCCAATAAGGCCAAGAAAAAAAGGCTCTAGTTTCTGGTCAGGGGCTGGCTCCAAAAGTGGTGCGGTGACACATTTTTTTTCCTAGAAATGATATACATTGCGACTGTATGCGCACGTACTGCCAACACTGAAATAGACTGGCCCCCTCAATACAAAGGGCATAAGACCACCTCATTTATCTGGTTCCTAAAAGTACATGTATAGTACAGAAATGACATCATCTGAAAAGAGAAAAAGAGTGCCTGACTAAATGTATGGGGCTAAGAGGGACTCCTTTACTGTACCCATTACTCAACCTTACCCCATCTAAAACAAGTTAAAATTATGCAGTAGCAGGATTCCAGTTGATCAAGAAAGTTTGGCAGCTTTTGGACATCACATTATGCCACATCAAATACTTTTTTTGCCGACGTGAAATGATGACACACGTGCTAACCAGAAACCACAGACCTTTTTGGGCCTAGTCGTGTGTATGTGCAATCAAATACACGTAATGCTTTTCAAGCTGGACTGGCTTCCATATCCCTAATGCGTTCAGTGATTTCAAACTGTATTGACATTCAACATACACCAGGTAGGCTGAAGGCTGCCCTCTCTAGTTCAGGGAGGGAGATGATAACCATCCATTGTACCAATTACATGTATTCGTATTAACATCTGATCTTTCTTGCTGTTTAGTGTCTTTTTTAATCTCCAGAACTGAATGAATTTTTTTTTTTCAGAAGAGTTATATCTGAAATAATTTGAGTTTAATCAGTAAAACTTGCAGTTCAGGTCTAGTGATTTTTCAGTTTAGCTGTAAATGGGGTCAAGTAATGTGGTCAAGCTGTGTTTTATGTTGAAAGAGACTTACGAAACGACAAGTCAGACAGTTTTAACAGTTTTTACAGCCTGTGATATTTCTGCTTCTGTAGATTTTATTGAAAAATATTTTGAGAGACAGGTTCATTCACCTCTGCAGCTCTAAAAAGTATAGCTCCATGCTTTACCCATATACAGTAGAAATCCACTGAATGATAGAAGTAATTAGCATCTTAAACTTCTTATTGGTACCAACTTTACGATTATCATAAAGAAAAACAGTTATTTTCATTGGCAAATCATTGATGCTAACTTTTGCTTCAAATGTTGTTTGCAATTGTACATGTATCTTGGCTTGAAAATTATGTAAGCTGTGTTTGCATATAAATTTTTTTGAGTAGCAGTATTTCATACATAAAAGTACTCAAATAAGGACTTTTAATGTAAAAAACAATAGTATTTAAATCAGCAACTTGAGATGACTTCCAACATCGAGAATTATTTTTTCCTACCTCCATGGTATAATGAGTGATGTGAGTGAATGCATGTACTCAAAATATACCTCCGTGAATATACAAGCTTACCGAGATGTTTGGAACAGGTGCATGTGGTCCACAGCTAGACATTTTATAAGGAATTCTTGAAAACACAAGTGTGAAAACTTGTATACTCACCTGTGGTCAATTTGCCAGACCACTGCAACTGTTTAAACACCTGGGAACAGTGATGGTAAACCCAGGCTGAGATCTCAGCTGTTATGTGAGGAACAGGTTCTGCATGAGTACCCCAGTATGTCAGCCAAAAGGTATCTACAGCTCCAGCTAACTGTCACAGCTCCATTGTCCCCATCAGTCTCCTAACCACATTATCCAAAGAATAGTTTGTTTTCTGTTGGCTTTCATGCAGCTTAAAGCTCTTGATTCTCAAGTGTATGAAGTGTAACAGTGTTGCTAATGGCTGAAAAGACAGTTCAGTGAGGATGCTCTCGCGTGCAGCCGATAGGGTGAGGGTCAGGGAGTATATGGTCATTTCTCCAGCCAGCCTAATTGGTAACCGAACTCGGAACCGGCTCAGACGAGGTAAATGTCTTTTGAAGGGTCTGAGCACACACCCAACAATAGGCCCTAGGTTAGGATGTCTGCATCATACATGAGGACAAACTTGTTGCCGGACCTTTAATTAGTTTGTATGGGGACTAGATTAGATAGTTTGGCAGCTTTTGACTAGGCTGTCAACGCTTTAATTGAATTGCGAGAGAAACGGCTGGCCAGAGTGTTGAGCCGAAATATAGAGGGCTGGAGAAAAATGGCCAAGTTGACATTTGGATGAATTTATAACTTAAATACAAGAATCTGAAAAGGTTCTTTAGTAATGATTTATTGCTTTATAGTAAGTTTTATTTCAGTTGTTTGTTAATGTGACCATTACTTCAAAATGACGAAGACCGTAATTTTCAAATTTAATACATGTACATTTAATGTAACTGAAACGTAGAGTACTCTGACGAGAACTGATATGAATTCTGTATTATTTGGGGGTTTCAAAGAATATAATTCTTTTGAAAAATTATATTGCTATCATGGTTCAGATGTGATGTTGATTTGTTCTTGAAGTGGGTTTTTAGTCCTTTTCATATTTCCAACCGATTTTCTGTTGTCGTAAAATACATGTGTACATATACTTGAGGGAGTTTGTCTTCCAAAAAAATAAAGTCGGCGAAGTGATTCTGCTTCATTTAAAAACATTGATTTGAATTGAGTTTTGAATTTTAGTTGTGGAAGAGTCATTTCTAAATAGAAACGACTTTCATTTGATCCCGTCATTGCAAAATTATTTTAAAGGAATCTCATGTTTTCTCGACGTAACTATATTTAAGCTGATTGAACAGCTTCGCAGTCAAGTTACCTTAATCTCTGTGGGCCTATGTCAACTGTTTTAGACGTCGCCCCATGTTTCTTGCTCGCCTGTACAAAAACTAGGGTCGTATACCCTTCAACTTTATTTCGCCAAGCTTTGCAGATTGACGGCGTGTGCGCATTAGTTACGCGCTGGGGAACGGTCCATGAATGCCTTGTTTGCACAAAAGTGATTCGAACTGCACTGTGACTGTCGAAAACCAACAGCGTTTTTTTTTTATCTCAAAACATAAAACACGTCAGTAGAATTATGGCTACAATAAATTGCAATCACCTGAATCGTTCAGTTTGGTAAAACTGAAGCAATGCTATGGCGTATAGTTGAACGGTCAGCAGGCAGCAAACGTAAGAGTGCTGGCGAGTTAATTGTCCAAGTTGGAATAATTCAGCATCGTCGAGTGTTTCTGTTACAGGCTTATATGTAGTCAGGAACAAACACTGAAAGTAATTTCAAGTGTTTCTTTGTGAAGTGGCCGCTATGATTTGTTGGTAAAATTCTGTTGCATTTAGAAATAAAAGTTTCATTCATTGGTGCTTTGGGGATCGTTCCTCTATTACCCCCATTGCGCCACTACCACCAAATCATCACTGATAAAGCATTCCATAAGTGTTTTGCTGAAAATTGAGGTATAATATGTACATTGAATACAATCGATAAAACCGTAGAAATGAAGCACGATCGCAGTGGAGTTATTTCCTTTGCGCTAGTCGGTTAAGCCAAGCTTTACAATCTCATTTTGGACATGACGGTCTCTATAGGATTTTCCGGTACGCCATCAATGTATTTGAATTACACGTAAGATGTTAATGAACCCAAGCTTTGTTTTGACTCGCGATTCAGAGCCCAGTGAAGTCCGACCTCTATGTGCGAACTTTCCCACCTGGTACTATTTTTAAAAAATGCTAAAAAGAGTACCGGTACAGGCAGAATAAAGTGAACAAAGTTGAAGTGCAAAGTAAAATAGCCCACACACTGGCCTATCAAATCTTGATTTTGATTCGCACGATAATTTATTGCAATTGGGTTCTCTTTATAACCTGTACAATTTATACAAAATTAATATACACAACTGTAGAGCTCAGAGCATTCATAATATAAGATTTTTTAGGTACCAATATTTACAAAAAGGCAGTTCAAATTTGTGCTACTCAGTAAATAATCGATTATTTTACCACGGGTGGCATGACCACCTACAAAACAACTTTGCAAGTGTAAAGCCTGTTGTTTGTAATTCAAATGGGAAGCTGGATGTGGTTAATACATCCATGATTGAGCATTACTTGTATTTTGAAACAGTCATTTGTTTTGAAAGAGTCGTGACCATGACGACGATTCGAGTAACGGTTTTCTAATTTATTTTAAAAAAATCTGGCATGTAAGGGTTCGAGAAAGGAGGTTCGCCAAAATGATTCAAAATTTGAAACAATAGCATGCTATCCATGTTCATTAATAGGCCTTTGTACTGATGACGTCAGTTTGTTTATATGTGCACTTTCCTGTGCAGCCATTTGGGGGCGAATGGTCCACTGCGCACCGGTGGATAGCTCACACATGTAAGTGTGACATCATCAGGAGAGGGGACGATAAATGTATTGAAAACAACATCGTGAGTCGTGTGGATGTATGAGAATGAAAAAAAACCCTGAAAAGTCTAATAGGTTTTGTTAAGTTCTGTGCTTTTAGCCATTTTATCCCGCAAACCGCCGACGGCAGGTTTCCTACACACACGGTGGGGGCCATACAGCACAAGTTTGTCATCAGACTTTTTAAAACCAATCTAAATATAAATTTGTTTCAGAACATCAATAATATTTCCTAACTTTTTAGGCCAATCAGAATTTCATTTTGAATGAAATTCATTTAAATAGTGCTATGGTTATTGGAAACGAGCAATGTCTGTTCAGTGGTTACGCCGTACATTCACAGTCTTCCACTATCATGTTGGGTATTTCCTCGACTTCAAGTTCACTCACACCATCCCTGTCGATCAAATACATCATTGGAAGTGAGGAATAACGTGCAACGCCACACGTCTGGTAGCTGCCGAGTCTTAGACCGAAAACTTCCCGTAAAGTTCGGTGCCTCTGTCGGTGACGATGGCAGGGTCCAGCGCAGTCGTAAGATTCGAAGCCGGCTGGTTCGATGATCCAACGGTTAGTCCAGGACGTTCGTCTGAAATCGACGTACTTAGGGATCCGACAGCAACGGTCTGCGTCTGAGCCGTCAGCGGAGCAGTCTATCGGGTCATCACTGAGGAAAGAGGAGACAAGAAAGGAGTTGATGAGATGGAGTACGTGGATACACTGAAAAAATGTATGATGAGCAGGAATAGTAAGGAAACCTATCTCTTTCCAATGGACACACACATATGGAGAACCAAGACACCTGAGATATTGTCCACCTGTTGAAGTGTGAATAAGTGTATTGTGTCTAATTACGTATTGGGACCGGAAAGGCCGAAAGAGAGACATTAATCTAAACAGTTTAATAAATTGCCGTTATAGTCATTGCAATTTTGTTTTGAACTTAAATCTGCTTTCGAGAGGTTGTCATTTTCGGTTTTCTTTATGGAGCTAGTCGTGTAACTGAAACAAATGCAGTCTGAGAAAGTCTGCCCATCTGTCTTCTGTAAGTAATCCAATACGAAATACCAGTAAATTTATAACCTGAAACAAAAGATATTTCAACTTACACTGGGGCATACTTGACGGTGTAGACGGTTAGCACTGGCACGCCTTTCTCCTCATCGTCCGGTTCTTCCTCTGGACTGAAATGTACGCGACTGGCAATCCTTCTGGCGTAGCTGCCGGATCTTTCCGGGGAAACATGAAGCTCTAGACCCATATTACTGGAGGGATCTGCTACCCACTGGATAACTGTATCCGTCACGTCAAAGTTCTTCCAGCCGAATGTGTCCACGTCGACTAGTCTATTGAAACAGCAAAAGAGATCAATTATTTTCCAAGAACAGTTTAAAATTATATGATAAAGTACACCGTTTCGGGAATGGTATTGTAAAGCTGTACGATATCTTCTTGCAAATAAAATGATGACATAAAATCCTACGGCACGAAAGTACACAATTTGAATACGGTGGGACTTGTGACTGCATTTCTTGTTAACTTATTAACTTTCTTTCAGTTTTGATTTAATGTTGAGCGTTTGACACAAAAGATGAAAATTAATTGTTTTAAATTCATACACTCCGTAAACCGATGTGAGAATAGCATTGGAAAACCTACGCATAAGTCAACTGTTTTAAGTGGAAGGTTAATGTAACAATGCCCACCTTTCATCAACCTTCACAGTTGTGGTTCCGCTCTGCTCTCCGTTCTCGCCTTCGTCTCTATCATCCTCTAAGGTGTTGGGCGTGACTTGATGGATGGAAACTAGAGCCCCTCTGACCTGATGGTGATGGGTGGTGTTGGGCTTATGAATGGACTGGTTAGGGAGCTCCTTGAAAATGCGAAGTTCTGCCATCATGACCTCACTACCGGCAGGGATCGAAGACATATCGAAGGTGTACACGTGACGCGTTGGGGTGGCAACGACAACACCTCCACGGATACCTGTTACGAGAATAAGATCCAAAGGGAATTAAACAATTGCCTTATTACTCTCTATAATATGGCTCGGCTTAACCCTAACCTCCGAGGGTGCATGTAAAATCATGTTGAATCGGAGGATTTTGGGACTGTTAGGGCTATTATATAAGATTCACAACTTGGCTATTTGCCCACAAAGTTAAAGTTTATAGATCACTCGCCCGTCTGTCAGGATGAAAATTATACAAATTCATTAAATGACATTTCAAATCATTATTTTTAGGAAAGCTGCATTCTTGTGCTTCAATTACATTGTACAGAACACACTTTTGCACATATATCTTTGATTTTGAAATTAACAGAAAGAAGATAATTTAACCAAGCATTCTACATTTTTGACTGATGCTGCGTGTGCACCGTTTCGTCATATTTATTCTTAAACGAAAAGCACTAGTGACCAAAGTTGTTGTGATGTGAAGCGGGCGATTATTACCTGGATTTTGGCGAATTCCTTGAGTGATAGTCTTTCTCCTAACGCGGTGATGTCTCAGCAGCGAGTTGTATTTAGCGGAAATATGATCCGGAATGACCAAGTCTTCCTTCTTGATGCTGGGAGGTGTGTACGGGTCCTTGACGCCTAGTTTCGCTAACACCTCAAGATGGAGGAAATGATCAGACTCTTTCTCCTCCTCGTCCATCCCCTCAAATGGATCTGGCCGGAACGGAGCTCCTAGGCACAGAAATGCTTCGGCAACCAAGATAATAATCCAGAAAGTAGAGATTGCCAGCCGTGGCTCCATCATGGCGTCGGAAGGAAAAGTCAAGATTTTGATGGTGAAACTGGGGAGATTGTTATATCAGCGAGGTAATTCTGACATGAGACAGGTTAAAAGTGAAGACCAGTTGTGATTGTCTCAGCTTTTTATGACTCCCCTTGGGTGGGACAAGTCCAGACGGTTAGACAGTCGCATGAATGGACACAGTGACACGTTCCAGGCGCGGTAATCTATTGATACGCCCGCTATAGGTGATTACACAGGCTGACGGTGGTCTTAATTATACCGTCTAGTCGAAGGTGAGCAGTACAAAGCCCGCAGTGGTAAGACTTGGGCTTTTGGAGGGTTTGTGCACGAACTGTTTCTGAGAGGCAGACAGTTCAGCATCCGAGCTGTGGTTTTCTACCTCTTATGCGCGTGTGGTGCTAATTGTTAGAGAAAGCCCATATCGTCTCATTTAATTGGTACAAGAATGGTGTTCTTCTTGTTAGGTGTGTGTTTGTAAACACCGCCGACCAGACGATCTAATGCAAGAAAAAATCTGCTTTCCTGAAATGGATCCTCTCTGCAGCGCGCTAAATAACATCTCAAATCTCTCACGGGTTCTCTTCCAGGATTAGAGGTGACGTTTTAAATATAATTATAGAGAGTTGTCGTTACAAAGACATATTCTGTTAAGTCGGGTTTAATGTTCCGATACGAATATGCCCTGGAATACATTTACAGAGAGTAAATCCCGGAATACAATTACAGAGCAAATAGGCAATTTAATTTTTTAGCCGCTTTATTGATGAAAAAAATGATCCACTCTAATCAATATTTTAAACTCAATCTGCAGCGATAATTGCCTTCGTGTATTCATGAAATAGTCACTTCCGTGCAGAAATATACTTCAATTCAATTTACACAATAATGTCACAACGTTTTGGAAAAAGGACGAATCAATGTAGCTGTTCTGTAAATTTCAAATCTGGACGTCAAACCTGTCCAACTTACGAACCCTTATTATTGTAACAAAAACAAGTAGGGCGTTGGACAATGGGTAACATAAAAACGATACGCCCTCTGATTAACACAACGCCCTTCAAAAATAATTACATAAATAGAATCGAAATCATAACCGTTGCAGCACTATTCGTTTAAATGCTTTTTCCATCTTATATTCTGAACGATCAAGGTGGAAGAAACTGAGCTTTCAGTTTTGGAAACTTATCAATGAACTGCTTAGGTTTCGTTTCGTTTGTCCAGCAACATTGATTTGATAGGACGGTGGGTCCAAGTTGCGTGCAAGGAGCTGTCCTTTACACTTGGACAGCACTGGACTAGTAGTGACACATTGAAAAGTAACCATTGTGACTGTGAAGTGAACCAGAGGTGGTGACAACAACTTCTTTATTCGCCAGTTGAGGGGGTTCTGGTCGTAGCAAACCAGTGACAAGCAAGTCTGAGCAAGTTGAGACAGTCTTTAAGACATCTTATTCATTGCTTTCTGTGGATAATATAAAAACTACCGTTCATAGGGGGCCTACATTAGACTGGTTTTATGAGGAACTACCACGAATTTCACAAGAGGCTCAAGGCAAAGTGGCCGAAACTCTTACGATTGTCTATCGCGGTCTATCACTTAGTAAAAGCTTCAATTAATTTCAAGATCAGTATAAACTATAGAGGCAAACGAGTCTACATCCTCAACAAGATGAATGTAAGTGTTGCTGATTTTGAGTATTAAACTTATTAATGATAAGCAGTGCAGGTTGGTATTTATCAACCCTTGTCTACTGAACAGTTATTCTAAAAACTGTCACAAAATTACAAATTAATAGGTAGATTGCTGTGAAGAAACAGGATTTGTCAGCCATATCACATTCTTCATTAAACAGAGTGGATAATTGTTTTATGTAGCTATATAATAAACTGCATCAGGCATGTAACTGGGATGTCTGATGGAAATTCTAAAATGCACAATGGAGGCTTTGCACAATGAGGTTTTTCGTCTCTTTGAAATGGCTTTCACACGTACAAGACACGCACACAAAAGTAATCCGGTGATCTGACGAACAGTGTTAGGTTATAAAAATAAGGGAACTTGAAGATCAATTTCAGTCAAAGATGTCATTATCATCACCATGGAAAAGATTGATTTCCTTTGCCTCATCTCTCCTCTGTAGTGGCATTTTGCTGTTGCTCTTGAACTTGAGGGTGAGTAGGGGTGTTTTCTTCCCAGCTGAAGAATCTATTTGGATAGGTGTCTTCGGTACCTCTTGCTCTGAAAGAAAAGGAAATCAATCTCACTCGTTTTATTCAAGTTACAAAACAGTTTTGTTTTTAACTGACCTTACATGGGCCCTAAATAAGAATAATTCATTAATTTTAAAGGAAACTTTTACTTTCAATGCTAGCTTTTGTTAATCTTTGTGAACGGAGTTGACATCGCTGTTGTGCGTGGTTTATGCATAAGAATGAGTGAGGTGTAAAAAGTGCTAAAGAAACTTGACAATTTAAAGCTGTGATAAAACAGACCCAGATTGAGTTATTGTTCTATGTACCTACCCTGGACCTTGACCTAAAGTACATGTAGTGTGGGGTGGGAGATTTCAGGAGCAGAATGCAGCTAGCAGGGCACTCCTGATCTGTTTTGAACATTTCAAATTAACAGTTTAGCCAAAGAGGTGTGTGGGTGTCTTACAGACACCCTCAGTGGGCCATGTTGGAGGCTCCACTTTGTTTTTCAAATGCACATAAAAACCATGATCTGACACGAACATCATTTCTGGCGATTCAATTTCTCAGTTCAATGCTCCTTTGGGCTGAATAAAGCCCTTTTTTAATTAAAGGTTTGTGTCTGATATAAACACTTAAAATGGATAAAATATAATACCTAGTATTTGTCAGAAAATAAATATTTGATATTTCAGTGCACTTCACAATGGTGTAAATCCTGGGGGTTGGGGCACATATCCCCCTTTTTTGGGGGGGGTGGTGGGCTGTTGAATCATCATGCACACTTTTTCTGGATTGTGAACTTTTTCAGACTTCTGACTAAAATACACTCAATATCACTCAAAACCGGAAAAACAATTTAAAAAGCCATAAATATGCCATTCTGAATACATATTATAGATGTACATCAATATCATGAACATCAACCTCTATATAGAGTCATGTGGTGTCCCCCCTTGATTGTACTTCAGCCACAAACCACCACATTGGAATTTTGTTACCTGGTGTTGCCACTCTGCATTCATCGAGGGGTGACATGACCTTCAGTTTCTGTCTTTGTAATTGTCTGTTGGCATTTTGAATTACTGGAGTCTGGGGAACATCTTGTCCTGTAAAAAAATGCTTGGTTTGCGATTATTGAAATTACACTGACTACAGTGTGTGCACAAAAAGAAAGAGGTGCAGAAAGACAGGTTTTATCTTGAGAAAAATGATCATCATAACACCAATTCAATCATGATCATTGCCATGTTATCACTACTCCATCTATAAACCACTGCCTCCATCACTGCCTCCTCCAGTCGTACCATTGAACTACTTACCTATAGTAGATCGCAGTCATACCATTCAACTACTTACCTATAATAGATCG